GGCAACATCTGTTATCTGAAATACTTCAATTGGTATACCATCTATTCCTGGGGCCTTATTTTTTGCTATTTCCTTCAAAGCAGCTTGAACTTCTTTCTTCATCACCATAGGCTCTTGCTCATATGTTATTTCTTTAAATTCCTCTGTATCTGCCAATTCCTTGGTAGGATTGTAATTTTCACAATATTGAGTCTTCAATGAACAGGGCTTTTTTATTTCCATTTATTCAGGTCTTTTATTGTGTCTTGCAGAAATGTTCTACAGTTTACTTCATATAAACTTATTGCAGCTCTAGTTAGGTTCCCTCCCAAGTATCTCAATTTGCAGTTGGCTATTGTAAATAATGTTACTTTCTTGGTTTTCTTCTCTGAGTTCTCTTTGTTAATGCAGAGGAATCCCATGGATTTTAGATATTGATCTTACACCCTGCCACTCTACTAAATTGGTCTACTAGTTGCAATATTTTTTTTTAATGAGTCTTTGGGGTTTTCTGTACACACTATCATATCATCTGCATATAGCTATGGTTTAACCATCTCTTTGCCAATCTGGATGCTTTTTATTTCCAACTCTTGTCATATTGCCCTAAAAAACATTTTCACTACAATATTGAATACAAGTGGTAACAATGGGCATCCTTGTCTGTTCCCTGTTCACAAGGAAAATGCTTTTAGTCTTTCTCTATTGAGAATAATATTAGCTCTTGATCTTGCTTGTATAATTGTCACTATGTTGAGGATATTTCCTTTGATTCCAATTTTGCTTAGTATCTTTATCAGGAAGGGGTGATGGATTTTGTCAAATGCATTTTCTGCATCAATTGCCAAGATCACATGATTCTTGTTATTTACTTTGTTAATATGGTGAATTACATTGTTTTCCTTATGTTAAACCATTCTTGCATACCTGTTACGAATCCCACTTTGTCATGATAAATTATTTTTTTATGTACTTTTAGATTCTACTGACTGGAATTTTGTTAAAGATTTTTGCATCTATATTCATAAGAGATATTAGTCTGTATTTTTCTTTTTTTCCCCAATTTTTTTTAAATTTAAATTTATTATTAATTTCAGTAAAAATTTACACAGACTTTGGATTTCCATTCATTCATTGTTGCAAATATTTTTCTTTCTTGTTAATATCTTGGCATTGTTTTGCTTTTAGGGTTATGCTTGAATTACTTTGGAAGTGTTCCTTCTTTTTCTGTTTTTTTTAAATACTTTAAGTAAATTAGTAATAGAACTTCTGTGAATGTTTGGAAAACTTCAACTGTGAAGCTGTCTAGTCCAGGACTTTTCTTATGGGGATGTGTTTTTATGATCTGTTCCATTTCTTCTTTTGTGATGAGTGTGTTCAAGTGTTCTATATCTGTCCTTGATAATCTGGGTAAGCCATGAGTTTTAAGGAATTTGTCAATTTCCTCTAGGCTTTTTAAATTTATCAGAGTATAGTTTTTCATAGTATTCCAATATTATAGACTTAATTTCATCTGGTTCTTTTGTGATGTCTTATCTCTTATTTCTTAATCAACTTCTGTGTCTTCTATTTTTTTCTTTTGTTACATCTGCCAGCAGTTTGTAAATTTTGTTGACCTTTTCAAAAAATCAGCTCCTGATCTTTATGATGGTTTAAATTCTTTTTCTGTTTTCTATCATACTGATTTTAGCTCTTGTCCTAACAATTTCCTTTCTTCTGGAAACTCTAGGATTAAATTGTTGTTCATTTTCTATTTAATGAAGTGTTAAAATACATCATTGATTTTTTCTTTCTTCCTTTTTAATGTACGCTCCTGTTGCTATAAACTGTCCCATGAAGAGTGTTTTATCTGTATCCAAAATGGGGGTTTTTTGTTTTTGTTTTTTTTATCTTTAAAGTGATACATTTTATTATGTCCAAAAAATCAGTTGTAGTATTTTATTTTGCATTGACATTATGTAAGAGAAATACAAAAGACAATCAAGTTGTCTCATGAACTGGAAGGTGACTTATTAATTCTCTTTCATTTCCAAACCTCATCAAGCAATCACTGCATTTGTGAGGTAAATCAGCTGAATGTTTAAAATCTAAATGAATTTTAAGATCTTCAATTTGTCCTGTTGAATATGCACAATACTGACATAAGTAAATTCCCTCAGATAAATGTGAATTTAAATGCTTGCAATATTCTAGCATACTCGAGAAGCCTTTCCCACAGTCATCGCACACGTGAGGGAAAATTTTAGTGTGTTCAATAGCCACATGCCTGTTCACATTGGTATGAAGTCTACTCTGGAAGCCACACACTTGACACACGAAGAAGTTTTTACATTTGTCAAAGGTAATTTTGCTTAACAGGCTGTATTGTCCATGTTCTCCATTGTTATATTTATCACTTAGCTCTATTAGTTTACATGCATGCTCATTTACCACGTGGCTATGCAAATCTTCTGGATCATTCGTCTCATGTTCACAGAACTGACACAAGTACTGCTCATCACAGCTGTGCTCCTGGAAATGTAAGTAGAGCTCACTGCTCGAGGAGAACTGCACGTCACACTGCTCACACCAATAGAGGTGGTCACTGAAATGAGTGTCCGCAATGTGCTGGCTGAGGTTCTCGAAAATGACTATTTTGTAGTCACAATATTTACAAATATATGGGTCCTCCTCGTGGAGTTTGGCGTGCTCAATCAGAAGCATGTTGGTAGAGAAACTTTCTTTGCAGACTCGACAGACATTTGAATCAGTACGCTTATGCTTCAGGATCATATGCTGCTTTAAATCAGAAAAATATTTGCTGTTGAACTCACAAAGTTCGCATTTATAGAGGCCGCTGCTATTAGCTCTGAGCAAAGGCCATTTCTGCTGGGCAGTCACATTCAAAGCCTGGTTCTTGTCAAGAATTTTACAGAGTTTAGCTGGTGGCTCTTCGTCAGTCTGGTCGTGGAGACTCTCAGAAGAATTGTTTTCTGTCTCTAGGTCATAATCCTCAGAGATTGCATGGACCTCTGCAGCTATTGGAACATCTTCAGCGGTGTGAACTTCTATAGGGCTCTCCTCTTGGGTCTGCTGATTAACCGATTCAGGTGAGTCACATTCTTCATCATAAATTTCAATATCAGTTGATTTTTCTATAGCAAAGGCAGTGTGGTCTAGAATCCTAAGTATAGGATTGGGGACCAGGTAGTTCTGATTTCGGTTTCTGGCCTTGATTCCATCTGTAAGTTTTGGCAAGTCATTTGATGCCTCTATCAGATTCATCATCTTTGTTGTCAAAATATTTTAAATCCGGCTGTCTTATGGAGCAGACGCTGTAACAATGATCAGAAAAAATTCCACTCACTCCATCTGCAATCCTGCTTATTCCAGAGGAATCAGCGCCTCGGGCCCAGCGGCCCAGGCGCAGCTCCTAGGAAGCACGGGGGTGGCCTAGGCACAGTGGGCGTGCATGGCACTCTGCCCACCAACAGAGGGCAGTGTCGCTGGGGCCCAGCGCTCCTGAGCACCCTGCAGGGCTGGCCCAGCTCCATCCCGGGAGCCCACACCCAGCCCGCCAGGCCCAGGCCTGGGCTCCGTGGCCTCACTCATCCGAAGTGTTTTGATATGCAGTATTTTTATTTTCATTTGTTGCAAGAGAATAGGCCATCCCATTGTCTTCTAGCTTACATAGTTTCTGTTGAGAAATCAGAATATAGTTTTTTTTTTTCCTCTCTTGTAGATGACTTTGTTTTTCTGTGCTTTCCTTAGTATTCTATATTTATCTTTTAATTTTGAAAATTTGACTATGAAATGTCTTGATGTTTTTCCCTTTGGTCTAGTCTATTTGGTGTTCTCTGAGCTTCTTGAATGTTTATTTCTTCATGTTCAAAATACCAGGAAATTTGCCACACACCTTTAATTCTGGACTGTTGGACTGAGGGGCAGGTGGAAGAGAGGAAATTGTACAAAAATGCATGAACAAAAATCCAAGTTTTCTGTAAACTTCCATTAAAATGTTAATAAAAAAGGAAAAAATTAAAAAGACTTTGATTTCTAGATAAGTATCTCCATGTATTTCAATCTGTATGCAGAACAGATCATCCGAGACGCTGGGCTATACGAAGAGGAATGTGGCATCAGGATTGGTGGAAGAATCATCAACAACCTGCGTTATGCAGATGACACAACCCTGCTTGCTGAAACTGAGGAGGACCTGAGGCACCTGCTACAGAGTGTCAAGGACTGC